CATAATTACTACATATAAAGACTTGACATAAAAAGTAATGATTATGACAGAAAAACCCAAGTATGGCATAACAATTCGACTTTTCAGGTCATAATGAAATTTTGTCTCATATTTCGGCTTAGTATAACCATTTTGACGTAATTATCTCATAATTACGACAATATTTGACATGATTATGATTTACCAAAGCATGATTTTTATTTTTGTTATGTGGTGGAAATGGGCTTCCATGTTTTACAGGGCACAATTCCGTGTATTGCTGTTTCCTGACATGATTCATATTTAGCAAACAAACTACGTTTAATTGAAATTAGCGTGGCCTGTTAATCTTTCGAGATCTGGGGTTTTCCAGAAGTGTTGACATAGCCTCAGTATGCTATTAATAGAATGGACCTGCTGGCTTGTTTGGCACGAACTTGTTTAGTCAGGTCGCTTAGCATAGAGGCTAAATAACTGTTGCAACACTTTTGAAAGATATTTACCTGAATTTCCCTGGCTGGTATTCCTGATTCTAGTTCGCAAAGAGCCACAAAATCCCTGAGTTCAAGCTCCGGGGACACTTCCAAGGCGAAAGTGGTTTCCGAGCGGTCTCTCGGTGCACAAAACACTGTGAGCAGCATTGTGCTCGGGGGTGCTCGAACCCGGTTACCGCTACTCGCAGTCAGAAAATGCCGTTACTCCGGAGTTTTTCTGTGGGAAATGAGCCCAGGGCTGCCTCGTTAAAACGCTGTGTAATATCTGGTTATGAAGAGTTTAAACGCATGGAGAAACAACTCAACAAGCAAACACAATTCACTAATAAAGAATTCGTTCACTTCCCTTCCACAGCACTTCAGCCACTGCCGCAAACCGATTGCGTGTGTCGTAACATACTGAGACAGGAAGTCAGAAACAACATACAACGCCAAAACAGTAATGCATTTTGATACAAATTAATTGAACAAAGAAATAAAAAAGCGAATAATTCAATATTTAATTAAATTGTTTAAAGTTAACATGGTCAATATCACAAATTTAGATTGGATTAAATATGTGTGTGTGTGT